ACTTTGTGTATAAAAACGCCATTTAAGGTGCTGCCATCTTGCGTATCACTCACGGAAACTTAGTACTCTCAGATTAGACAAAACGACGAGCATGTGGAGTGACTGGTGTGTAGTCGATGTAGCTGTGCGCATTGACGCACGCCACTTATACAGTGACTTGCGTCGTCGATATGCTCGGATATATCCGCTGCATAGGAAATGCTGTGATGCTAAACCATCCGAAAACGTATGTTTGATCTATTTTCAACTTTTGGTGGTGCTGTTGCGTTTCATACCATTATTATCCATTGTGTGCAACTTTGTCAACTTTAATAGCTTAATAGGAATTTCAATTTCCCTTGCACCGTTCGCAAACCAATTCCAATTTTGGCACTCACAGACAAAGACGCACAGTTGCACACATCGAGTGAAAATAATAGCATCGAAATATGCAAGTGCCTTATTTTATGTTTATTTTATGCGTTGAAAAAGACACAATTCAATGCGTTAATGTATTTTCCAGGATGCGATTCACTATGTAATGGTGTATTCATTTTGATTTTCGATTAATGCTCTTTGCAAGATTTTTATTTTGTATTTTATGAGTATGTGTGAGTCTTCGATTTTGACGTCATTGCATAAGAAACAGATTTTCCCACGCCATTTCAATCCAAGCATTTTCATTTCTATCAAACCGTATAGATCATATTTAATCGAGTCTCAAGCTCTTTGTTTTCTCATTGAATTTGTTTTCTTGAACAGAAGTCTTCTTCCATTCAATTCGAATGCTGAACTTTCTTGGTGAAAATGGAATGAAAGTTGATCGACACTTTCTGACAAATTCTGGTAGCTATCGTGAATTTCTATGAAATTTGCAATATTTCCAAAAAAAAGTTAACTGTATTTTCCAAAGAAACAAGCATTCTGTGGTACATAGAAACAATTCTGTTACACAAGAATGTTGTGTAAGAATGCTGTGGATATTCGAATCGATTGCAATTTGAATTCCATGCAGGATGAAGCAACGAGTGGGGAAAAGGCGCATTCCGTTGAAAGAGAATTTGAGATAGAAGTTTCTGAAACCACATACAAATGAAAGCGGCATGAAATTACCGCAAGGATTGTGCAATGTAAGCTATGTTCCATTAAGTAATGTTGTGAAGGAAGTCATAAAGAAGCGGACACTTTTAGCGGATCTATGGAACGATTCATGAATGCAATACACAGCCGTAGCCGTAGTAAGATTGTGAGTAAATTTTCTACTCTCCCTTGGATTGATCCAGTCGAATGATTGTGCCTCAGTGTAATAACGTGCACGTCACTGCCAGTGATAATAATGAGGCACTCAGGCTATCTTATTGAATGGGCGCGCGCTTACTATAAATGAGTATATTGTTGTGCAAAGAGGTCCTGAACATTTCGGATGCCAATGTATGGTGGTTGTGATGGTAGTTGTTGCATGTAATATGCTCCGAGTGACATCCATTCCAATGGCCACAATGGCAGGACAATAGGAAAGAATTTTTATATCCATACATTGGACTGACAGTCATATTCCAAACATTCTTTTTTACCGATCTATTTCCGACGACTAAGTTTGCAAGTCACATACCATTGCCTTTGACATCGCAATTCACTCAATGCTATAACACAATAAACAGCGGACAACCCAAACCCCCTCTCATCACACACATGTGTGAATTCATTTCGATTGTTCACCTTCACTTCATTACAGCGCTGTGTGCGGCAACAGAATAAATAAGACTCAATCAAAAACTTGTGGAGCTTTGAATCGGAATTCGGTCCATTTTATTGAATTGCGTCGAAAAGTTGTACAAGACAGTGAATTTGATGTTGTTGTTGTCGTTTTTTTCTTCTTTCTGTCGTTGCTCCAGTGCATTCGGCTGGAAAAAGCCAAACAAAAATTTGTACCAAATTGAAAACAAATAGACACATACGCCAAAACTTGCACACTCCGATGTGTTTTCTCTAGGGGAATATCACGCTTGAATTATTTCAAATATTTCAAAAAAATCCAATTTATCTCTAAGAATCTGTCGTATGAAATATGGTGGATATTTGTGAATACGGCGGAATATTGTGGATTTTTGTGATTATGAATGATATTTAAATGCATTTATTCGGATTTAATGCAAAAAATCTCAAATATCTCCAAAATCCACAAAAATCTGATTCATTTATTCGAAATATTCGAAAATATGTCATACAATTGATGTTTATTTCAAATATCTCAAATATCTCACAAGATTCAGGAGTGTGATATTCCCTTAGCGTTTTCTTTCAATTCACGGCCAGTGTGAACATGGAAAAGGGATGTATTGTGTGTAAAATTTGGAGAAAAAAGTCTGTTTTCACTGGAGAAAATTGGTGGATATATTGGGAGCCGTGTTCAAGTAAACAAATCGAAAGACAAGCAATGTAATTGAAAATCAATAGACAGAATGCTTCCCGTGCTCGCATCCGGAAAACTTATGTATGCATGATGACATCGTTGTGTGGTGTCATCTTTGACAATGCCAGCCTATTTTCTATACGCTTTCGCTCCTTTCATTCTGCGCGCGTTTTGCTTTGCTTTCATAACAGTTCGGCGAGATAAGAAAGTGTTTTCGTGTACGAGAGAACTGATTTAGTTTGGAATGTGTGGCGCACACCAATCTTTGATTTAGGCTGTCCTTAGTTATGCGTAACGGAAGCACCATACACAGGTTATGCTCCACTAAGAAAAAGTGTTTCTATAGGAGAAAAAGCTCATTTTTTGCCTTATACTTTGGCCTGAAAACTGAAATCGAATCAAAACCCGGCGATGATTTGAAATTCTGGTCGGTGTGTGACAAGTAGAAAATCACGAAAAGGTATTGCATAATCAATGTCGAATAAAATAACTCTGGTAAAAGGCACATGGAGAAGAGGCGGGATTGAGGGAATAACACAAAAATAATTATGGAACCATTTGCACCATAAACATCCCGAATGTGCGCGCATTTTTCAAACAAAAGTAAACAAGCTCAACGTCACCAAAGCCACACATTACGCCAATATATTCCCTAGTCTCCAGCCTCGAAAAGTCGACTTTGTGTTACACAGTGCTGTGCGCTTTCAATTGATTGTGGCAAAACTTTCTGCCAAACCGAGTAAACATATTTCCCTTTCTTTGAACACCTCGAAGCTCTTTCCATCTCACACCAAATTAAATCAATTCAGTAGTTTTATGTTATGTTGGCTGAGAGCGAAAATCTGTCAAATTCGAAGTTTATTACAAATGATTGGAATGTCTTTAGCCCTGTGTGTATGTCAAGTGTTATTCGATTTGTTTGTCCCCCGAAGCAAATCAAAATTTTTGAAATGAGAAAATCCAAAATGCGTCCAGAAACATGTATTATTTGCTTGTACTGCTGGAAGGAACATTGTTCATGTGCTTCACCGCAGTGAAATCGGGACAGTTCTGTGGTGGTTAATCTTTAAATATGCAAGTTGTTAGTTTCATTAGTTTCATATGCAATTTGTGCTGCTGCTGTTGTACGAATCGAGAGAAGCACTTTGAATAGAAACAACAACACACAACAACAAAAAAAGCATTGCGAATGGAAACGGTACTTCTCAGAATGCTTTTATGTCTTAACTGAAAAAGAGAGCAACGCTTAAGTTATTGAATGTAAATATCCGACCGAAGATTGCTTGGTCGATTTCAATGTGAAAGCGTCTCACAGTGTGGCATACAAAAAGCAGCGCTTTTTCTGCTTCTTTTTTTGCTTTTACCATTAAATTGATGCTGATGCTTTCCGTGCTTGAATGTAAACACTTTGGTTGTCGTGTGTTGACAATTTCTGGATGTATGTATTCAATTAAAGGAAATCGAAGGCATTTCCAGATGACTGACGCTTTGCATGGCATCACCAAATGTACTGCATACACAATGGAAATGGTGGCAACGAGAGTAAGAAAGTGAGTGAAAAAGAGAGAGAGAGAGACAGGGATAGACTTTGAGTAAACATGAAAAATTGAAAAATCAAAAGGAATCCGAAATGTAAACAGATGTAGCAGCATAAATAATGCACATAAAAAGACGAGAATCGAAAGAGAGGGAGAGAATGGGAGGAGAGGAAAAACAGCAGTAAGTCACAAAAAGCGTTCTCGCCATCCCAAAGCATATTCAATAGGGATAAGCGAATGAGAGAAACAAGATAAAGAAAGCAAAAGAAGAAGAGAGAAAAAAACTATTACGATAACAAAAGAAATGAATTTGTCTTGTGTCTCTGTCTCATCACTCACTTTTGCAGGCAACGCTCTGTTCGATTCTCTGAAATCGGCAAAGAATTTCGTTTAGAAAATCGTAACTGAAGAAGAACAAGTAGAAGAGACATGAAATGAACGTGCACATTTGACATTTCATTTGTAAATCAATCGACTTTCGTCAGTACGTTGCTACTCCTGCTGTTTGCCATTTGTATTGTCAGAGTCGTTGTCTTTTTTGTGTTTCTGTTTGTGTAACCATTTGCTCGGTTTGAGTCAGAGGGAGGGAGAGAGAGAGAGGAAGAGAATAGCGAAGCCGACACAGCCCGTATAAGATCAACAACACTCAACGATGCGAATTGTAAATTCATCGTATTTTATCCGCAGCAATTCCAGTTTCGTTTCCAATTTTAAATTGTGTCTACATATATCGAAAGCATTCGATGTTCAGATTGTTCAATTAATTTGCCTTTTAATCTGTGTCTTTGCAGGTCGTCACTGTGTCGACAGTTTATATTTATCACGGGCGTATACATCCCATCGAACGCGTGTGCCGTACGCGCTCCGTTCACATTGCATTGAGGGATTTTCGCCACACTGTCTCTCTTTCGGCCGCTGGCGAAAACTTGAAATTTAAATTCACACAGCTGGCGCCTGTGATTAAAATTAAATTAATTTTTAAGCCATATTAAATCCAATGGCAAATTTCCCATGATACGCGACAGTCCCACTGATTGCATGATCGAAAGATAATAGGCGATGTTGGGCTGTTTGTTTGGCGAGCGCTTCGAATATCTGTAGATAAATATCCAGCTGTTCTCCATATTGATTTTAAATCACTCGGCCTCCTTCCCGGACTGGTTGTTTTGTATCAGCATCACCACCCAGCAAACAACGCAATACACCGAGGAAGAGAAAGAGAGAGAAGCGAAAAAGAATAAGAGAAAACAATATGCTGCCCGTACCACAAGATCGCACTTCTGGCCGTCGAAGCAGCTCCATTGGGTGCCGTTCGATTGTTGGCAGAAGAACCTCAACTTATATAACAAGTTCAACATCATGTGATCCATTCAAGGTAAGTTGCATAGAGGATTCAAATTACACCATTCCCATTGGCCAGTAAAATTTCTCGCTCACTCTCCCACTCACGGAGACTGAGTAATGAAATTCATTGTGAAATCTTACAACGAATATCGCTGAAATTAAAACAAAGAGATAAAGGAACAGTTCTTCAAGTTCACTTTAGTTACACCGGAATTAATTTACGACGGCACCTGGCGACTGATTGGAGAAATAGAGAATCATGCACATAGTTTGCTGTAACAAGTATGCGTCTGTGTAAGTGCGTCTGTGTAATTCAAACGTTGCAAGTATGAAATGTTGCATATAGTCCCCAGGTGCCGCTGTATTGTTTACTATTTTCATGATCAGAAAGGCTGGAACTGATGGTATCGATGCTTCAACACGACGGACAACATTTCATAATACACGTAAATTGTTTATATGACAAACAATGCTAATGCATTTGGTGCACGAGGCACGGAATGGCACGGTATAATACATATCTCGGCCGAATCCGCCGCTGTAATTGCATTTGGGCTGAGCTTAGCTGAATGAATCAATGGGTGAGTGCGTAGCAGTGTGGCAATCAAAATGACGGAAAATGTTTATTTTAGCACAATGAATTTCATTTCCTAATCATATAATGGACAGTGGACAAGTGCCTACGTGGTAAACATAATCGTGTCGAAGTCCGATTTTACCACAAGTGTGCGACCACCGTACATGTCGAAATATACACTCTCTCCACAAAACCGACATACAGTGTGTGTGTGTCCTTGTGTGTATATGCGCTTCAATCTGATTTATGTGTATGCTGATTGTTGTCAAGCGAATTAATGTTGACGATTCAGTCACTTGGTGAAGCGAAGTTTCGCACAATGACACAAAATCAACGGCTTTGAAAATTGTGCTCAACTTGAAATAGTGCATATCGATGAGAAAATGTTTCGATTTATTTGAACACATACAGAGCCAAAGAGTGAACGAGTTGCTTCGAACTTCGATGAACCGCATGCATCGCTTAGAATTGGTTAGCTGCTGCTGTTGTTGTTGTTGTTGTGAACTTTTCGTTTGCATGACTGAAACGCCAATAATTTATAACGCACTCAATGTGTCACTTCATTTGAAATATTACAAATCGATTTTATAGCATCCGTTTTGTGGCAAAACTTAGCTTTTGTAAATCCATGTGATTTGCAGTTGTTGGCTGTTCGCTGTGTGTTATGTATGTTTTGAAAATTTCTTTGAATACCGGATTTTCCACAGAATTTTGCGGTGGTGGCCATACACTAGGTAGCAGCGCGGCACATTTACTTCTCCTGCTTTTTTTGCTGCAGGTTTGCCAATTTATTCATCCGTGCGGCGGGTCGAGAATGGACACGGTTCGTTTAATATGCTGACATATTCTTTTTCGATTGATCGAGAACCGATTAAATGCACCCTTGAGCCACATTTTTCAGTGACTTAAGCAACAACATTTGTGGATACATCGAATCGTCGATCGACAACGACGACGACCAAAGGGGAAGTCGAAGCTATATATGAACAACAACCGTAAATTACATTCGAGAGACGGATTTATAAACGTTGTAATCCATTTTCATCGAAACCAAAGAAAAAATGTTTTTACTTATGTAAACGAGAGATGCAAAATTTTGCCTGAAGTCAATTTCGTTTTTATCAGCCAATTTTTACGATTTTTTCTTTCAGAGTAATAAATCTTATCACATTGAAGAGAGCAGAAAAAGTGATGCAAAAGGGAAAAACAACGTGCAAGACAACAACTTTTGATTGTTTGATGAGAAAAAAAAAAGTTTCTTATTTTGGGCCAAGTTTTGCATGAAGACACATTTAAAAAAAGACTCATTCGACAATTTATGGCGAATTGAAAGTAAAAGTAAAATCGTTCATTCACTTGTAAATGGTTTAATTTGTTTTTCTTCTCGGAATATTTTAACCGGTCCTATTTCAAACAGGCTGTTTGTCGTCATGATTCCCCGGTGGAAATCACGGTGTCAGGCGAGCATAGAGAAAGAGAGAGAGAGAGAGAGAGAGAGAAGAAACGGAATTGCATAGATTGCTTTCCATGAAAAATGGTGTTGCACTTGAGCGCCAAGTACCAAATATCCATATCATTTGGCACACAGCACATTCATGAATCAACAACACACAGGACACCATTTTATGAACGACGAATGTAATGAAACTCAATTCAAACGAACAACAACTCCTGTAAAGGAGATCTTCAAATTTTGAATGTGTCAAGCATAAATATTTGATGTGTGTCGTAATGACATTTGCTATTCTACGTCGGTGATGTGGCACGTTTTTTATAAGCTCTTTTTCTCTCGTTTTCTCTCTTTTTTCCTCGCTTCTCGCTCTTCAAACACACTGAACACTTGTACGAGTATGTGAATGGCTTTCACTCACATTTTACTGGGATGACTGTTTGAAATCAAAGATTTCAACGCGTGAAAAATTACATTGATCTTGGATGTACCGCATTTCAATGTTCATCATATGGCTTAGCATGCGAAGCATGTTCGCTTTAGGGAAGTGGGAGTTTGAAAGGAACTCGGAGAGAGAAAGGGAGAGTTAGTGATTAGCAAGTGTTTTCTGCACGATTTCCATCGCTATCAACATCATCGTGTGTATTTAAAATAGTAAATGTGAAATAAATGACACTGTAAAACGATTACAATGGCTCTATATGTTTCAATATAGTATGATTATGTACGTGACGCGACGAATGCTCGCAGATCTTTCACTTTCGTAAATTCGTCAGCTAATTACGTATTTGCTGTGTTGCGTCTCCTTGTTATTCAATGTTTACATTTGCATTGTATATTAATCCAAATTTGATTCGTTGAATAGCAAATAACTGGATTTCATTTTTCTTTTTGCCACCGTCTTCGTCTTCGTCGTCGTCGTCACTCGTTGAGCCAGAAATGATGTAATTTTCAAGGTAACTCCTTAAATATCCAAGTCAAGCTAAATATTTGCTGAGTAATTATTTATACTCGCAATTGCTGTTTGTGATTAACAAAACGTTTTTCCGGCTTTTATTTTTTTGCCTTCGATTCTCACCATTGCTCACGTTTTTCAAGCTCTGCGGACAAGCAAATATTTATCATTCTATGAAATTTTATTTCAATTAAGATGACGTCGACTGTTCTGTTTCATTTTCAAAGAAAAAGTTCAGCTTTAGCCGTGGAACCGATTCAATTGTTTCCATTATCCCCTTTGCTCGTAAAATGCGTAATTTATATTTTAAGTGGCCGGAAGTGTTTGTGCCAAACAAACGCACTTCTCTCGCTTTATGAACAAACACACACACACACACCCACACATACGGAGGGAGATATCCCGAGAAGGAAACGCGACGAAAAACAACTTCGAAAGGAAACCAATTAGGGAAAGTTTTCATGGAAATATGTGGATGAGCATTTTTTTTCGCTTCGACGCTTTCTTTTCGTTTTTTCTCTCGCTCTCACTCGATCTCGCCATCATCCTCTTTCTCATCCACATTTGTCGTTGTAACACACGAAGCAATCAGAGCGATTTGTACTTTTTATTATTATAGCCGAGTGTGGGAGAGTCGTTGTATGTTGTTGTATTGTGCTGAGCATGGTGGATATTGCCGCCGGAATGTGTTTTACATTTAGAATTTCAAGTTGTCAGCAATTCAAAACATTTCAATTTGGTTTCTTTTCGGGAGAATTTTCTGTCGTTGAGCTTTGTGTGTATGTTCGCCAAAATCCAACGACTTCTTCTTCTTCTTCATTATCGTCATCCTTCTATTTGAGTTTTGCGTGAGTAAAACGACATACTTGTACGAGAAAAAAAGAGAGAAATCCATAAATGCTAAATGCAAACCTGTAATACATTTTATCCACGGATGTTGAGTCTGAGTAAAGTCGGGAGTTTTCCCAAAAAAGCTATCCCAGTTGAATGACAAATATGGATGGGTACAGTAGGCAATCAGTGCCTGAAATTCGAAATATTTACTTGCATTTACTGAGTAAGCTGAAGCGAAGAGGAAGGGAAATTGAGTAAAAATTTGCCACAATGAAACACAATTTTTAAGTAGAAAGTTGTCAAAAAAAGATACACACACACTGAACGCTGAAATGCGATGTCATTTTCTTCAATTAGAAGGCATTGAGACGGTAAAATGCAAGTGAAAACGAAGGCTGCAAGCGAAAGAGAGAGCGAGCGAAAAAAGAAACTTTTCCGATTGATAAATGGTTGAAGTTTGATTAGGAAAGAATTCGCGTATGAACACTGAACAGTCATGGTGCGGCTGTTGACACTATATTTTCCTATATTTCGAATTGGTGCGCTGTGTAGTTCCGATTTGAAATGTTAAATTACATTGATGTGCCCTTTGAAATTGGGGGCGCTCGCGTCGCCTCAAATGACTCTGACGTTCAACAGCCGCCACACGTGAACAGTGTTCGTAAATCTGTCCAGCAAATAAATCGATAACCAATTTTGTCATTCGTTTGTCAATTCCCAAAATTTTGCTCTACTTCACTCCGATGTTGCTGTTGAACAGATACATCCGTTGTGCTGGTAAAATTAACAAAAAGCCGTATTTACATTGTGAGTGAGACGATATGTCAACTGAAGAGTCACCAAACGAGAGTAACAGCAGCTTATACATCCATATTTATTCTCGTAATGGCGGGGAAGACAACCAAACCCGAGAACATTCGGCGTTTTTGGCATGCAAAACCAACGAAACGAAAGTAACAATGATGAAGTGTTCGTACTTGCTTTAATACGAAATGAATTTATTCACTATTGTTAGGTTTTGATAACGAGCTTGAGCTTGGTCGACGGATATTCTAAGTCTTTGCCTTTGTTTCACACGCTTGAACTGTTCGCTCCGTTTCCATCACTCTCTTGCTCGCTCATTCGCTCCTTGGATTACTCGCTCGTTAATCTAAACAATTCATTTCAACTAAAAACCCAATATCATTCACTTACTCAGTTACTTATTTTCAAGCG